ATGTTGTTAATCAAAGCATCGTTCTACCGTTGTTCCGCGCGTTTTGATTTCTCGTCGGATCGTCGCAAACTGCGATACGGGATATATCCGCCGGCGAGGCGGATCATTGAAATTCTCGGAGCTGTGTTATGCCCGTCGAGGGAGCACGTAGCCGCATTTATCGATTTTAAATAAGCACGCTCGCGCTACGGAATGTAGTCGTGGACCTTGACCTCGCGAGATTATCCAGCCTGTGTATGCATGCGTTCGCGCATCGGGAGGATTACTTCTGCAGCACTAGTTTTTTCTCCCTCTCTCTTCAGATTCCGGCGAACCGCACTCCACCCTGGATTCGGTCTCGCGGCCCCGCGGCCGCCGCGTTATTTCTCGCGAGAATATATTTAAATATCTGGTACGAGCGCGTCGGCGTCGGCACCGAGGCTGTCGCGCCTTCGCGAACGGTGTCACGAATCTGATTCAATGACCTCCAAACCTCGAAGGAGAAGCGACTTCGTCGCTGGCTACTGGCGACGGAAATGCTCGTATCTCAGCAGCCTGCACGCGAGCGAGTCTCTCCACCGAGATATCGAGGAATGGCGTCTATACTCGCGCGTGTTGCATAAATGCGATCGCGGTAGGGGAGCAGAGAACTTTGGCCACGGGCCCGATCGCAGCGAAACGCGATGACCGCAATATTCTCACGTCGGGCGAATTTTGCAGGTCAGTCTCGTCATCGTCGTACGGCGAAACGGGCGGCAGTGGCGGCGCCGCGTTAGCGGCAACGATCGTTAACGGCACCAGCAGCAGCAGCAGCAGCAGCGGCAGCAGCGGCGGCGGTGGCAGCAGATACGTCTCGTCCACGAGCGCCTCGGTTAGCTCGTCCACGTCCTCGAGAGAACGTAGCAGCGTCGACGCGTCCGCCACGGCCGCCGATATCATCAGCAGGTACTCGCCAGCCGGCTACGTGCCCAGTATTCAACGTCAACAACAAGCGAGCGGTAGCAGCGTGCATCACTGGAGGCATCGTTCGACGTCGTCGTCCCTGAACGAATTGTTCGGAGGTGACGAGCGCGAGATCGAGCGCAGGGATCTCCGTTTGGAACCCTCGCTCTCCTCGTCATCGTCCTCCTCATCCGTAGCGGCTGGTAGCCTATGGTCCAAATCGAACAAGAGGAGACCGCCTACGAACAACACGGTGCTCACCACCATCGGGCATGCACGCGCGGACAGCGCTGTGTCTCTCGCCGAGGTAACGACTACCGTCGACGATCACGTTACCCGTAAACCGAACGACGACGACGAAAAAGACCATACCAAGGACATTAACGGCGACGATCAGCATAACAACAACGGCAACGTCGGCAACACGGGACGCGACGGTAACGGCGAGGATATCGCGTGCGGATACGGCGTTAATAACAACGACGACGAGCGCGACAACGACAACGACGGGGACGACGACGACGATACCAACGACGACGACGACGACGACGACAACGACCAGGACGAGGACGAGGACGAGAACGGCGGCGACGCAAACGACGACGATAATTTCAACAATCGCCAACACCGCTTCCACCAACAGCGTCGCCATCGACCAGACCAGGTCTCATCTGCTAAGCATAACGTTCTCTCACCCGCCGTCGCTGGTGGTGGTGGTGGTTTGATCGGTGTTAATAGCCTTGACCTGTTAACTAACCTCGCAACTAATCCTCGTAACACCGAGCTGCTGATCAATAACAACGCTCAGGACAAGGTGACAAGAAGAGAGAAGGAAGAGGAGGAGAAGGAGGAGAACACCAAAATTGCGACAAACGACGAGGTAACACGCGGCACCGACAATGTCACGTCGATCATCACGTTCCTACAACGCGATCACATCAGCGAGCGAGATATTCCCGAAGATGACGAGGAAGAGAGCAACGTGTCCAATAGTGCAAACGAAAGCGACTTTGGCGGAACGATCGACAACATAGCCGGTAGACCGTCCGCCACGCATGGTGATGATCCGTCCATCCCTTCGACATCGAGGAGAACGGATCAAACCAATCTCTTCTCCGGGAGCAGCAATTTGACATCATCACCGACGAATCCATCCACAGCTCATCAGAGTATCTATCGCGGGGTCAGCGAGCAATACGTGAGTGCGCTTGTAAAAAAAATAACACGCTCTGGTGCGGTGCAGCATAGACTATATTTTAATTAATGGTATTTGTTAATCAATTCTGTTAATAAACGTTCCCATAATCTCTTTGTTTATCGTGACCTTTCTTTTTTTTTTTTGTAATTAACCAGTCAGTTAATGCTGCGCCGTGACCTATAATTTTCTTTTTCAATCGACAACCACAAACCTTATGATGGTAATATCAAAAAACGTGAGTATAACGTACGCTCGCATGATGATGGAGTGCTTTTGATGAAAAGAAAATAATCTTCTACAAAAGAAGAGATTATTTGTCGTACATTTGTAATCAATATACAAATATACAAATTTGTGCTTCGATATATGTCATAAGAAAAGAACTATATCGTAGCCACGCGATTCGTACACTTCCCACACGGTCTCGTTACGAAATCTCATTGCCCTCTCGCCGTCTCCAACTAGAGGCTCTTCGGAGTCAGTCGCTAGCATTTTATTAATAGCCCAGAGCTCTTTCTCAAACTCTCCGGGAGATAGAGGCACGTTGTTAGGTAAATCCATATCACAGTGTACTGTGATAATTTGCGGTAGTCGAATTTCGCATGTTTCTTCATGCGGAAATTCCGCGATGTCGTTGGGAATGTATGTATTCGAACGAATAATCGCATCCCCGCGATATAAACTAAGCGCTGATTAATCCCTGCCAGGATGGAGTGGGCAAGTCGAGATTATCTCTGTACTTTGGAGGAAAGAATTATGATTCCAAGTTCTCGCGTCTTAACGACAAAGAGCACGTCTTCAGATGTAAAATGATACTTCGATATAACGCGATCGTCAAATCAAAGCTTATAATTAACACGTTGACAGACGTGACGTAAATAAGTGACGCAGCTTTTTTTACTTGGACTTGCGCGACGCAGATGGATTATGACACAACACATGAAAAGCTTTAATTCGATCGCTCGCATATTTCCTCGAGATAACAGTCATCAAGAGTAAACTGGCTCACGTTCAAGTGATAGGATGGATTTTGTGGTGTCTATGGACGGTGACAGCTCTCGTGCTCATTTACGCTTTCTTCCTCGGCATCGCGACACTGTTGATATCTCCCAAACGTACCTCGTACTCGAAGATCAATTCGGTACGCATCGGTAATTCGGCGAAAATTTCACCCGCTGTTTCACGTACCGTCCGATATTCGTTTGCGCGTTTACAGGTGAGTATCCGCTCGATTGCGCCAAGTACGTTTCCTTGCAGATCGCTGATTCGCGATCACGATCGATTTCATCATCGATCGTCAAACGCTACCACTGTTTGTCCGTCCCATTTTAACGTTGTGTATCTGAATAAATACAGAGACGCATTTCTATATCCACGTGTGTGTGTGTGTATGTGTGTGGTGGGGTGGGGGGGTATAT